TACTGAAGCTTTGGATATCTCATTCTGATATAGATATATCCTGTTGCATTTAAATTCAATTCTGTGTTCTATTTTTAATTAGTCTTTCAGAGAAAATAAATGGTGAGGGTGAGGATGAAATCCATGTGTTGATGAATCCCATTCCACCAATAGACAATCATAATGGAATACAACCTGTTATTTCTATACCTATTTTATTTCTATAATCATTAAGCAATGGCAAGAACAACATTGAAATGTCACAAATTATCTTTTTCTATACAGTTTCCAGGCTTTTTGCTTAAATTGATTCAGCCGTATGAGATTCATTCATTCAAAATAAGACTGCCTATCCTGTTTTAACCTGATATCATTACATAAGGCATATTAAAAGCAGTGTTCATTAAATATTGCAGGGAGAATGTAATATTATTTTCTCTTCTACAAATAGATTCCCTATGCCCAAGTTTTCTTACTTCAATGATATTAGAGATATTGCACTGTAGAAGTAAGGTGTGTTGAAGCTTAGAGAACAAAGACTTGATCATTTCTTCAGTGGAAGACTACTGAGTGATGTCCTTTTCTATATATGTGGTTTCTTTTATTTCATTTTAAATCACTTGCTTTCCAGTATTACTTCCATCTTTAGGGCTATATTTATGTCCCAGGTTGCTGATGAGTATAAAAAGGCATTAGTCATGTCTCCATTTAGTTACTGGGTTGCTAAGTTACTTTTGTGTGCACCTCACTCTCAAGGGGTGGAGGATATACTTTACTCCAACTTTTTATTTATTCTACTTGATTTTCTGGAATAATTTACAGGTAATTCATTTTTGGAGTAACTATAAGACCAAATGCTATAACTTGTTGATTAAAATTACCTTCCTTCTAGTATATCGATTCCATCCCATCAAACATGTATGAATTATTTGTTTTGTGAAATGTCTGCTACTGGGAAATATTTTCCTGCATTAGCTAGCACTTTTTCTACAGTAAGTATGAAGGAGAATCCTTTTATAAGCCTAGCTTTATTAGCTGTATCATGTGACAGATTCATCAACCAAGTATGAATTTAATTAGTGAATAAAAACAGGGACAGTGAATTGGTGAATTAATTAGTTACAGTTACTTAAGGATAGAAAGAGAGTATCTGCTTGTGTTTTACATTGTGTTTTGTCCATTTTTACAATGCAAACAAGTAAATATAATTAGAGGGCTTTGCCCCCATTCACCACAGCGTCCGATCTCCAGTGCAAAGGTTTTTATTGTTGTTGTTTTGCTGCAGCTTAGTTCCAACGCTATGTGTGAATGAATTTATATATGGAATCATACAATACAAAGGGAATTCACCATATAGTAATTATGTAAAATTACCACAGATTGTTTCCAAGGGGCATTTAAACTATTTTGTCTAGTTATAACCAGCACAGTCTTGTACCTATAGAATATTGAAGTTAGTCTAAACTTCACCCTATTTGGAATATATCCACTGAAATAAATTGGAATTTGATGGCTGGTGTGGGTCTTCCGGGCTGTGTGGCCGTGTTCTGGAAGTTTTGTTTCCTTACGTTTCACCACCCTCTGT